TAAATGGCGATCTAGTGAGCATCACACATACATTATTTCCAGCCACATGACTGTGGTCATTTTATTTCTTCCCTACATGCATGTGAATATGGAAATATATGTATATCCACATTTTATACCTATATCTTTTTGGTGATCCGATTAAGTGAACTGAAGCTCCTAGTATTTAAACGCTGATGGTGTTTTGCTAAAACAATTTGCAATTATTTGTAACTCCCCTTCAAAAAATAAAGGAGATTGCATATTGGTAAAATGGAATCAAGTAGAGTTTCATGACAAGAAAGATCATAGGTCCTCTCACCTATCTATGCAACCCTTCTTACTTGGCCATCTTGGACCCAGGTTTTCCAGAAAAAGGTAGGGTTAAAGATCATATTTTGAATTCTGAATTGAGCTCTTGAAGGTGAGAAAGAGCTCCTTACTGTTTAGTAAGGAATTAGAGTTGAACTCCCTGCCTGAGCTAGCGGGGGTGGTCTCGGACCTGGCATTGGAGTCCCAACGGCTGCTTGTGCTGGGGGACTTCAATGTCCATGCCGAGGCCGCCTTATCGGGAGTGGCTCAGGACTTCATGTCTGCCATGGCAACCATGGGGCTGTCCCAACAGGTATCTGGCCCCACCCACAGTGCTGGACATACATTGGACTTGGTTTTCTGCCAGGGATGGGAGCAGGGTGGCGGTGTGGAGGAGTTGTCCATCTCTCCGTTGCCATGGACCGACCAGCTTTAGACTAACTGCACCCCCTAACCTCTGCAAAGGTGGAGGACCCATTAAGTTGGTCCGCCCCAGGAGGCTTATGGATCCGGATGGATTCCTGACGGCTCTTGGGGAATTTCCCGCCACCTCGGTTGGTGATCCTGTTGATGCCCTGGTCGCTCTCTGGAATGGGGAGATGGCTAGGGCAATAAACACAATCGCTCCAGAACGTCCCCTCTCAAGTAGCCGAGCTAAACCAGCTCCTTGGTTTACTGAGGAGCTGGCAGCGTTGAAGCGAAAGAAGAGGGAAGTAGAGAGCGTGTGGCGTTCGGATCCGAGCGAGCCAAATCGAACACGGTTTGTGTCCTTTCTAAGGGCATATGCTGCGCAATAAAAGCCGCAAAGAAGACTTTCTTTGCGGCTACTATTGCGTCTGCAAAGAACCGTCCGGCTGAACTGTTCCGAGTTGTCAGAGGCCTTTTAAAACCCACCATGCAGGATGGGTGCCCTGATGACTCGGCAGTTCGCTGTGAAGCCTTTGCTCAGTTCTTTGCAGACAAAGTCGCTTTGATCCGCTCTGGTCTGGATACCATATTAACGGCAGTCTCTGAGGATATAACACGAGCATCTGCTTGTCCGGTTTTGATGGATTCATTTCAATTGGTTCAATCCGAGGATGTGGACAAGGTGCTTGGAGGAATGAGAGCTACCACATGCATCCTAGACCCCTGCCATCCTGGCTTTTAAAGGAAACCAGAGGGGGATTGGCCAAGTGGGTGAAGGTGGTGGTTAATGCCTCCCTTCGAGAAGGCAATATTCCAGCCAGCTTGAAACAAGCTGTTATAAAACTGCTGCTGAAAAACCATCACTGGACCCCACTCAATTCGTCAACTTTCGGCCTGTTTCCAATCTCCCCTTTTTGGGCAAAGTCCTGGAACGTGTGGTGGCCTCACAACTCCAGGCATTCTTGGTAGACACGGATTATCTGGATCCGGCACAGTCTGGCTTTAGGTTGGGGCATGGTACCGAGACAGCCTTGGTCGCCTTAGTGGATGATCTGCGCCGGGAGCTCGACAGGGGGAGTGTGTCCCTGTTGGTGCTGCTGGACCTCTCAGTGGCCTTCGATACCGTCGACCACGGTATCCTTCTGGGACGCCTCGCGGGAATGGGTCTTGGAGGAACTGTTTTACAGTGGCTCCACTCATTCCTCGAGGGTCGGTCTCAGAAGGTGTTACTGGGAGACTCCTGTTCAACCCCACAACCTTTGTCTTGTGGGGTTCCTCAGGGTTCAATATTGTCTCCCATGTTGTTTAACATCTACATGAAGCCGCTGGGGGAGATCATCCGGAGTTTCGGGGTACGGTGTCATCTGTACGCGGATGATGTCCAACTCTGTCACTCCTTTCCACCTGCTACTAAGGAGGCTGTCCAGGTCCTGAACCGGTGCTTGGCCGCTGTGACGGTCTGGATGAGGGTGAACAAATTGAAATTGAATCCAGACAAGACAGAGGTACTCCTGGTCAGTCGCAAGGCCGAACAGGGTATAGGGTTACAGCCTGTGTTGGATGGGGCCGCACTCCCCCTGAAGACGCAGGTTCGCAGTTTGGGTGTGATCCTGGACTCATCGCTGAGCCTGGAACCCCAGGTTTCGGCGGTGACCAGGGGAGCATTCGCACAGTTAAAACTTGTGCGCCAACTGCGACCGTACCTTGGGAAGTCTGACTTGGCCACGGTAGTCCACGCTCTGGTTACATCCCGTTTAGACTACTGCAACGCTCTCTACGTGGGGTTGCCTTTGAAGACGGCTCGGAAGCTCCAATTAGTCCAACGTTCGGCAGCCATGATACTAACAGGAGCAGAGCGCAGGGAGCATACAAGTCCTCTGCTGCACCAGCTCCACTGGCTGCCGATTTGCTACCGGGCTGAATTCAAAGTGCTGGTGTTGGCCTTTAAAGCCCTAAACGGTTCTGGCCCAACCTACCTATCCGAACGTATCTCGGCCTATCAGCCCACCAGGACCCTAAGATCTTCTGGGGAGGCCCTGCTCTCTATCCCGCCTGCTTCACAGGTGCGGCTGGCGGGGACGAGAGACAGGGCCTTTTCTGTGGTGGCCCCTCGGCTATGGAACGCCCTTCCCATGGAGGTAAGATCAGCCCCTTCGCTGATGGTGTTCCGAAGAAGATTAAAAACCTGGATGTTCGAACAGGCATTTGGTTAATCGGTGCAATGAATGTGATGATTACAAGAATGGTAATATGGACGACGAAACTGGATCACGATTTTAGTCATGAGATGCATTGGGTTGTTATTGTTGTGTCAATATTGTGTATTATGCTTTTATGGTTTTAAATTGTATATTGTTGACTGTTGTACCTTTGTTGTAAACCGCGTTGAGTCACCTGTTAGGCTGAGAAACTGCGGTATACAAGTAAAGTAAATAAAATAAAATAAATAAATAAATAAATAAATAGAACTTACAAGAACATTGTGTGTTATGCCAGCATGACATACAATTTTCCTCTGTTTTTTGCAGCCATGCAGACAACCCCATGAAATATTTTTATCATCATTATCATCATCATCATCATCATCATCATCATCATCATCATCATCATCTATATCCTGCCTTTCTACCCTTGGGGACTCAAGGCAGCTAACATCTATCCACACTAAACAGTTTAAAAAGAGCAATAGTAAAGTTAAAAACAATTAAATAATAACAGTGCAGTAAAAACAGAATTAAAATTGTAATTTGAATTTATTGATTTCTGTCTTGTTCTCTGGATCAGTACAAAGTAAACGTGCACCATCTTCTAAATCACATGAGTTAAACTCAAGGGCCATGGGCCAAATTTGGCCCACCATATTATTTTATGTGGCTCTCCAGATGCTGGGAGTTGTGGTATAGTAACCTCTGGAAGGCTGCAATTTGGTCTGTTCATTCAGGGTAGTGGGGTTTGAATTTCGATACAAGGCTTGGTTGTTTTAATCATGTCAGAAGCGACTTGAGAAACTGCAAGTCACTTCTGGTGTGAGAGAACTGACCGCCTGCCCAAGGGATGCCCAGATGTGTTACCATCCTGTAGGAGGCTTCTCTCATGTCCCTACATGAGAAGCTGGAGCTGACAGATGGGAACACACCCCGTTTTGCAGATTCGAACCACTGACTTTCAGGTAAGCAATTCAGCTGACACAAGGGTTTAATCCATTGTGCCACCATGGCTCCTACCACATATCACAAGGCTTATGATATGATGTCTGACTTTAAAATGTCTTTTAACCTTTTCCCAACCTTAGAGCCACAAGTGCAGTTGGATTGCAATTCCTATTATTCACAGCCTGCATGGAAGATCATCAAAAGTGATGGAACCTGGCATTCAACAACATCTAGGGACCCAAACTGGGTAAAAACTAAAGAGTGCTGACCCCCCCCCCCCCCTCTCTCTGTGTAGGCCTTTTGTATTCATGGATTCTCCATCCATGGATTCAATGTTTCTTTGAAGGCAATGGTTCTTTGAAGGCAACCACAAAGCTGATGTGCTACTCAATGAAAATTAGTTTGACACCACTGTTCTAAATGATATCCCTGTAAATATGATGAAGCTGCTTCCATAGGAGGTTTTTACTGTTCATGGTATTTAACAGCAGTTCTATATGATACTATCTTCAATTCGTGATCTCCTCCCAGTAGGCTGTCATTGTTACTCCTGAAAGGAAAGAGGAATAATGCAAAATCCCATTTGCTTTGTATTGCTGGGAACTACCAGCCTGGGAGATATATGGTTTGCTGAATTCAAAGAAATTCTCAGGGGCAAATACCTAGCAAGAGCTGAAAACTGCTTATTGATTATTGGACTTCCAGATCACTAAACTGTGGGTCTTTACAGCTTAAGTTCACTTGGCAGACACTGTTGTAATGTGATCAATTATTCTATTCTTTAGGGCCTAATTGGTCAACAGATTTCAGCATTTCACAATCACTGTGCTCTTACATGTTTTTTTTTAAATCTTAGTGGAAGCTTAGCCAAGCCTTTATACTAAAAATGTAAACAACACTGCACATGCAGAAACACACTTTCACACACAAACTCAGTGAGGAACACTCAATATCTTCAGCTATTTCTTTTGTTCAGTTTCCAAATGAAATCATAAAATGAAATTATATAAATAGAAATATAGTCATTTAATCAAAACCTGTTCATCTCTCTCTCATGCACACACAATGACAAAGTCATGTATCTGCACAAGATCAATGAGGAATACTTGACATTTAGGATCAATTATCTCTTGTAATAGAAGCACCTACCAGTGTAGGTGATTATTTCTCCATTAGTTCCAGAGATGCCGCTTTTGTGCCTGAGATTTTCTTTGTGGAACAACTGGAGACTCCAATTTTTCTGAACAAGCAAAAGCTTCTACGAGCTTCTGCATAAGACGTCTAGCCAAAATGCAAAAACTGACCACAGGGCACAAGTGGGCTGTGTCTAACCAAGCACAGAATCATTTTCAGGTCCTTTCGTCACCTTTTCCCCTACATTTTTAGGAGGATGATTTAAACTAGATGCAATAACACGGAGAGAACCAAATGTAAATCAATGTACACTTTTTAGAGTTCTCATGCTGTTCCCAGCTACCAATCATGATAAGTCAAGCTTTTATAAGTAAGGATTCATTCTTTCTTATACCAAACAAAGAATTGTTTAGATTTCTTTAGCAACTATTTTCAAAGTAAGTAGCACACAATTCAACAGGAAGTAACACTTTCAAACCAGGAACAGAAAATGTTTTGAATTTTGTTACATAATGTAATAAGAGCTACCTGAAAGTGGAATAATCTTATTAAAAACCCTTCTTTGGAAATTTTTAAATAGGGCAGGACAACCATTTGTTAGCAATGCTTTGACTGCACATTTCTATATGGCAGAGGGTTGAACTGGATGCCCCTTGAGTCTTTGCCAACACTAGGATTCGTAGCTTGCCACATTATTCTACTGCTTAAAGAGCACCATTGGGCCAACCTGGATTGTCATTAAACAAATCTTTTGAAAAAGGGAAAACAAAAAGGGAGAGGGCAGTCCTGGTTTTCTCCTCCCTTGCTGTACTCCTAGGAAAAGGTTCAGTTTTTATTGGGAGGAAATACTCCACTGGCTCTGGGGTCCCTTTCTCTCTCCCCCCCCCCAAGGGAAATAGCAGTGTCAGATGAGAATGGAAGGTAAGAAAGGGTTAAAACCATGCTCATACTATGGCTGTTGTGAGTCCAGAAATGATTATCCTCCCAGTGCATTACTGCAGTTTTTAAAAATACATTTTCCAGCGCACAAACACTAATCAAGGAACATGGAAGGCACTGCAGACTACTTCAACCAGAGAAGTCAGCCATAACAGTGCACCTAATGAACCAAACTGGACACAACATATTATTTGAGACACAGAAATGCTGGGCCACTCTAACAACTACTATGTCAGGCTACACAGAAGAAACCATGAAAATGGACAAAATCTGGCTACCAGTACAAAAAACTCTAAAATTATAACTGTAAATAAAAAACAAAACTCAAACACAGGGGAACTCCAGACAAGAAACAATCAGGAAACATTGACACCTACCTCAAACAGACAAGAGTTATTTTCCCCGCCCTGGACCTTCCACAAGTTTCCTAATTTCCAACAAACCTCACAACCTCTGAGGATGCTTACCACAGATGCAGGTGAAATGTCAGGAGAGAATGCTTCTAGAACATAGCCATACAGCCTGAAAAATGGACAACAACCCACATTTTCCATTGCATGTTTGACCTTTTTCCTTGCCTTCTTCCATTCCATCTTCTATTCACAGATCTCATAAGTAATTCAGTCCAATCCTATAAAAGTGAGTTGGAACCTGTTATGTGGAACAATACAGAAGATGAGAAAACAGAGTAGTGGGGACTGTTGGTTTCCATCTCAGTGCTTCAGATTAAGGAATAAGATTCAGAATTATGGATAGCTTCTTTAAACTAGATTAACTACTCCACTGATGCAAGTGCAGCAGAGTAAACACTAGCATTATATACTGGCACAATTTTATAATTGGTATCACCCAAGGAGATGAACAAAGACATGTTATTATGTGTAAGACTTGCAACAGTGCAACCTGTAGTGAGAATTGCACTTGAGAACTCCCTAGCAGTTCACATCAGCTATGCCTGGCACATTTGAATCATGCCATGCCATGCAGATTCATCAGATGACTTGCAGTTCTGGAATTGCATAAAACCCTAGATGGAGAAATGTGCTGTAACTCCAATGAATATTCATGTTTTTCTTGTCCCACCCCCTCTCTCCCTTCCCCTCCTTGCCCTTTGCAGAAATAAATTGTCCTGACTATCACCCCATGTTTTCACCCCCAATTTGGGCGGGAGGAAGTGGCTTTACGCTTTAACCATGGAGAATTCCAAAAGGCCTAGGGACCGTGGGACATGTCATAACAAACTGAAAGTATGCCATTTTCTTTAAAATGTGTTCTCTCCAAATCCCAGAAGCCTCCAGCTAATTTTATAACAGGGAGTGGATGCTTATTTTGTGTTGTTGCTGAGGATGTCTTGAGTTGGCTAGTCTCAAAATAGTATCCTGTCAGTCTTTTGCAAATCTGGGCATACTTAACAACTCTATGGGTTTGGTTTCTCATTCAGCTGAATGAGAATGACTAGTGGGTGCTATAAATAGCTGCCACTGAACATGTTTCAGGACTGTGAATGGAAAACGTTGGGAGTCCCTCAGTTGTTGCAGCTAATCATCCTAACCGATGCCATAAACATGTGGTTGCCCCACACTATGCCAGACACCCTGTGACATCAGCATCCAAGACTGGTGTTCCAGAGTGCTTTGTACACACGTTGAAGGAAACCAAAATTGATCTAACAAGCAGATGGGTTTCTCTCCCCGCTTGACAATCCCAGACTGCGCCAGGGCGTGTGCATGTGTTTGTCACCACAACAGGAGATCCCTGAAGAGGTTTCAGGAGGAATGCCAAGGCATGGAAACAGTGCCAGCATAATCCGATCTGCAGCCTTTCAGAAGGCTATGGCTCACAGTCTCAACTTTGCTAGGCATGCTGACTGCCAACGCAATGGGGGTGGAATAAATCTGTCACTGGCACTCTCTTTGGAAAGGCTTGGGATGCAAACTCATTCCTAAGGGACTGTTTATAATGTACCTTATGTACCTGGCATTGCCTGGGTATGCATTTTCTAATGCTATTTATTAGAAATACTCATTGTGAACTTTTCATTTTTTTATGAATTGCCCCATTAGAAAATGTATGCATGTCTAATGGAAGCCTTTATATCTAAAATCGTATAGGTATATGAATTCTCATTAGCCCAAGACCTGATCAGGCTGTGTGGGAGTCCATTATTTCCCATTATTTCTAGATATGGATGGCTGCAACTCCCACAAGCCCTAGATCTGTCTAGTTGCAAATACCACAAGGCCCAAATCTGGTCAGATGGAACAGTTTGGAGCAGGTGGAATTTCATCATCCCCAGATCCGGGCAGCTAGAAATCCCATCAACCCCAGATCTTGGTGGGTTAGAATGAGTAATGATTAGGCTCTCCAGATGTGACTGGATTCCAACTCCTGTCACCCTTCAAACCTCAACAGCTATAAAAACAAGGAGGCAGATTGTGGATGATTTTAGTGGATAGTGTTTTAACTTACTCATTTTATTATCTATACTCACAGATTATATCTATATATATAAATTTGTTAGGGGCATCCAACAAGGAAACAAAACTCAAAAAACCCCAACAAAACTTAACCTAAGTTTTACTATAGGCCACAGCAACGCGTGGCAGGGCACAGCTAGTTTTATATAGATCTTCTGTTGTTGGCCTGTATTCCACATCATTAGTCATCATGGCTAGAGGTAATGGGAAATACAGTAACATCTGGAAGGCTGCAATTTGTAGCGTTTAGTCAGAAGCATGGTGTTTGAATTTATATACAAGGCTTGTCGATAACATAACATGCCTGGCATTTCTCCAATCTCAGAACCACAAGTGTTGTTGGCTTGCAATCCCCGTTTTTCCCAGTCCACATGCCAGATAAGTAGAAGTGATGCAAGTTGCCATTCAATAACATCTGTGTGGTTGAATTTGGTAAATACTGAAAATTTGGTAAATACTGAAAAATTTGGTAAATACTGAAAAGCACTGACCATTATGTAAACAAGACATTATGTAAGACTGCTGTGGCCTTCGATGAAAATGCGTTTGACACCCCTGCCTTAGGGTCACCATACGTCAGAAATGACATGAAGACACACAACTACAGTTTTCAGTTCCTTTGTAATGCAAATAATATCTACTTCAATAAATAGTCCCAGATATTCAGTGTGTTTGTAAATCTAGGTTTCTACATTGGTAGTTTTTGTAAATGGATACATAGTTTGCCTAATCTATATATATAAATCTGTTAGGCGAGTCCAACGGGACAGCAAAACTCTAAAAAACCCCAATGAAACTTAACCAAAATTCCCATGCCCATAACACAACCCACAAGGTACAAACATATCTACTCAAAATGAAAAACAACACAACAACACACTCACAAAATGGCAAAACAACAAAACCCAAAAACCCCCAATGAAACTTAACCAAAATTCCCATGCCCATAACACAACCCACAAGGTACAAACATATCTACTCAAAATGCAAAACAACACAACAACACACTCACAAAACGGCAAAACAACAAAACTAAAAAAAAACCAACGAAACTTTACCAAAATTCCCATGCCGATAACACAACCCACAAGGTACAAACATATCTACTCAAAATGAAAAACAACACAACAACACACTCACAAAACGGCAAAACAACTGAGCATGCGCATTGGCGCCCAGCCGCAAGTTCCCTGGCGCGCGCACACAACCTTCCGGCCAACGTTCCCTCTGTGGAAGCCATGCCCACTCCAAGCCCCGCCGCGCCGCTTCCTGCACACACACACACCCTGCCGCACACACACACACACAC